CCCCAAAACCCCAAAACCCCAAAACCCCAAAACCCCAAAACCCCAAAACCCCGCTTTTATGGATTAAGGTTGAACCAGAATTTCATAATTGCTAAAGCATATTGAATAAAGTTTCTACGCCCGGGAAGGGGCTTGTAAAGACTAAATATTGTTCATGCTAATTAAAAATATTCACGTGGGCTCTTTTTCCTCTAGAGAATCATTGGCTTATGATTCTTGGGTTGGATAATTTCTAGTTTTACGTAAAAAATATTTGAATGATAGATTTCTATAATTTTCAAGAAAAATACAAACTTAATTTTCAGAACTATGCCAAAATCTACAGATTATGACAGTCCAAAGAAGTTGGAACTAACTTGATAAGCTTTTGAGCAAACCTGGATCGGTTCTCTTGCTTGATTATTGCTAAAGTATTTTTCAAGGAATAATTCATCCTCATATTTATATGATAAAAGGTAAGTATAAATATGGCTGATTCACAAATCTACCATTTTAGCACCACTTTTGTGCTGCATAATAACTGGTTATAGCGGAAGGAGTTATACAGGAATTTTTAACAATTTCAGACTCTTTCGTGATGAACCAGGAGGAGAATTTGCTTACCATAACTTGTCACATTATTAATGAGTTTTAGAAATTAAGAATTGAAACTGTTGTTGATTTAAGAATCTGATTTAGTATTTTACCTATTAGAAAATTAAATTTTCGCAACAAATTTTCGAACTTTAATTCTGAAAGAAATGAGGTTTGGAACACATCTCGGACTTCTTTTCTAAAATTCAGGCTTGTATACTATTGTTCAAGAGTTATAATACAGTCTAAAGGTTAGGTTCGAAGTTTTTGCTGGTCTCCTTAATTATAAATATTAGTGAAACACTTCATAAATTTTATCAAATAAGTACATATCAAATGATGCCTCAAAATATTAAAATAAAGTTTTAGTAGTTAGCACCCAGTGAGGGTAATGTAGCTGAACTGATAATAAAAAGGGATTTTTACTCTATTTTCTGTAATAGTATCTAGCATAAGGACGACTTATGGAAATTTGATATTGCCCTCAAAAGCAGAATTTGATAAGCTTTTGTTAAAATTTCATATCACAGACAGGGATTAATAAAATTTTAGCTGGTTGGAATTAACTCCTCTTCTCACTTAAAATCCGGATATAATAATCAAAAGTAAGTCTGCTCAATTTTAAGAGGATTTTATCATGTTTATAGACAAACATGACGTTCTTAAGGGCTAATTTTGCATAATGTGCTAACTCTTGATTCAAATAAAGCTCTTTATCATTTTCCACTTGTTTAAACCCATATTTTCCTTTTTCTCCAAAATGTGAATAAAGTAGTAAGATTTTGAACTGACATATTTAGTAAAACTTATATTAGAGAAAATAAATCAATAGAAGTCTTTGTACTCATGAGCTGGTTCTCTATGCTGCACATACAGTATTCTTGGAGTAATGGCTCGAGTGTCTGAGGACTGGTAGTCTAAATAAATGTCAGATTCACTATTGGTAATGTAACCCGAAATCCTTACAACAGATAGTGAAATTAGTTAGGATTAGTTTTATCCAGCTATTGCTCAAGTTTAGAAATTGATAAGTGATAGGAATGATTAAGACCATTATATTCAACTAATTACCCCAAAGGACTCATTTAAGAGAAATAATAAGGCTTCGGTCTAGTGTTGATCACATATTTAAAGTCTTATTCTTAGCTTCGTTTTAGAAAAAAATTATTTGAAATACAATAGTAGCTGGATTACTAGACTTTTTCTATGACTTATGAATGACCTTAAAGAAAGAGTGACTAGTTGAGCTTACTTTAGAAGGCCTTACTAAAATGATATTTTATCACTAAGTTTGACTTCTTATGTGATGTCAATCTGGAAATTTAATTAAAAGAAGTCAACCTAACTGCACTATGAAATTCTGAAGAATTAAGTATTAAATAATTTTAGCTAGGCTTGGTTCTTCATAGGAAATTCAAATATTTTAGAAGACTTTACTGCCTTCTATAAAGAATAAGAAGCCTATGACAGGTGAGTTTGATGAGCCTTTATACTCATCAATATGAAAACTGATGGAGTATATATATGGAAGAAGTTTGCGAAATTTTATCAAAAATTCATATTCCTCTCTATGGATGCAGTTATAAGCTTTCCTAACATGTTATGAGAGTTAAAATATGATTTAGAAATGTATCATACTTATAAGTCTTCTTAAGGAAGGCGTCTTCAAATTCAGAGCTTGAATTTCTCATCAAACTCCTAAGTAAGTTTATTTTCATCCTCTTGAACAAAAAAGATGCGAACTAGCAATCAAATGGATGGTGCTATCATTTCCTCCCTTCGTATTATCTATCAGCAGCCATAATAAAGTGTTCAAACATCCACAAAGTAAAGATATGAGCAAATAGCTTCAACCTGGTGAACCTGCATCACTGCAAATACTTTTAACCTAAGTTTGTTAATACTAGCCATATTCAAAATTCTTCTATTCGGGTTTAAATATCTAATCTAGACCATTCCCAACTGTTTCATAATCTGTGAGCCAACAAATGGCAGAAAAGAGAGTAAACATTGGAATGACTGTATAGTCATAATTCTTCACTAAGAGAATCTTTTCTTAGAGTCTGAGGCAGCTTTAGACTTCCTAACTATACTAATATGGAAGTACTTTCAGAGCCTGGAGTTTAGGTCCAGTAATCTCAGAGTGTCGTTACTTTTTAGAAATATATCCAAAGTCTCTTTGGAGGATTAGATAAAGGAAACTAGACAAGGACTTACCTTTTTAAGTTCTTCAGCTGAAGAGAAGGAAGGTAACTGGATTGGAGTATTTGAGCGTTGAGGGTTTGATAGCATCGAAGGATTTTGGATATTTTTCAGACTCTGATCCGTGTAAATTTGGTCTGGGTATCTATGCATGGGTTTATAGTGACTCTTGAATATAAAGCTAAGAATAAAGAGTTGGGAAATTTATTTGCAAATTTTGTACAACTTCTAAGTGAAGATATTAGCAAAAAGTTGATGTCTCAACCATATCTTAAACTAAAAGGGAGGAAAAAGTAGTTTTTATATCTCTTGAATTGCGTGTCTAGCTATTGCCGAGACTTTCAAAACAATAAGAACCTTGGAACTGCTTGAATGAACACGTTTAGGAGATTCATGAACTGTCCAAGTGCTAAAGCATTCACTGATTTCTAAATATTATAAAAGTCTAGATCAGCTTTAGGGAATATTTTAGGTATCAACACTCTTATTTTAAGGAGAAAATTCATTCGGATAATAACCAAAAATTCAAATTATTTGGGACTCTATTGTACGAATCATTTGAAATGAATGTAAGGCTGAAGCTAACTCTTAGAACAATCTGTAGAGCTAAAATAGTATGCCTACTTCGAGTAAGTCATTGAAATAATCATCTTTTGGGCTAAAAATCATTTTTAAAGGAAATTTGATTAAAAAATCATTCTCTAGATTTTATCTAGCATTTCAAAAATTTTAATTCCCCCAATACCGAGTGGTGAATTGTTACAGAAAGAAATTTTGATGCCTCTCTTTCTATCAAGAAGGCAAGAAATCATTCGGAAAATTTGACAGAAGATAGAAAAGTCTTTAAGAAGACTTCAAAATGATAAATAATAATCATTTCGAAATATTGTTCCGAAAGTTCATATTATTCATAGTGTCATAAATGACTGATTTACCTTTTCCTCGCATTAGTGAACCAGTTGCATATATTTCTCAAATTTTAAAAATTTGAGATGCTAGTTTTACACATTGTGCCAACATCTAAGCTATGGATTATATGCTCTCTGTTACGAAAAAGTAAAGGCTTTAGTTTAGTTTATTTAATTCCATTTTATTATGATGTCTTTGGAATATGGACAAATAATTTCAAAATTATTACTTATATCCTAGAGAATCATTGCTTTATTATATCCCCTTAGGCTCTCAAATGCCACAGATTTTACCCAGCTGATCCTTCTCTTCAGAGGTTGGATAAGGATTCTCTCTGTGTTCCCTAAGCCAGTTAAGTAAGAGGTTCTTCTTCCACTTAGCAATATTCTTCATTCCAAGCCTATTACCAGGCTTATTCTGAGTCTTCTGTTGCTCATAATAGTTTCTTTGGATAAATTGTTGAGGATACATTCTTTGGGGGCGTATAGTTATACTCTGCTCCAAATTCATATTATTAAAGTATTTTCAATCTGAGATATAAATAGTGGGGTTTTGGGGTTTTGGGGTTTTGGGGTTTTGGGG